ACTTATCGTGGTCGGTACAATGAGCAGCGGTGATAACGAAATTTGCATTTATTATGGAACCCCCACAAATGAAGCTACCATAGTAATAAAGACCCACTTGATAAGGGATTTTATTCCCATAGAGGACTGGTTTACCACCGACAATCCTATCGTCAGGTAGCGAACTGTTGTCATTGCCAGAAGGCGGGTCAGCTAAAATCGTCACCAATAATTTGTATCTTTTTATTTTTTCAACAAAGCCTTACCACAAACGGATGCTGTAAGAAAAACAACCAACGCAAATGGTTTCATTTTAGGATTTGTTTGGATTCAGAGACACGGCCAAAGTCTGGTTACGGGATGCTCAGGTTTAACTTAATGAAACATATATGTATTTTTTTACATTTTATGTACCTACATACAGGGTGATTCACGAGGAATAATGAGCCTGACCAAATTTTCGATGTAACCAACATTACAGTTGTTGCAAAATAACTTGCGAAGAGTAATGGTGGTTGCATCGAGAATTTGGTCAGGTTCGTTATTCCTCGTGAATCACCTTGTATACTATCTGCGGTAGTACGTTAAACTTTTTTATTTGTTAAATCTAAATACCTTATCATAATTCATAACAAAATTTTATTGCAGACGAATAGACAAAAATGCTTGTAATTTTTTTAAATAAAATTAATTAAGTAAAATAAAATGTCAACATAATGTCTAGTACATCGTATCTACATATGTATATTTTTTGGTTTACTTTTTTGTTTTTTTTTACGGAAAAATGGCGACGTTCAATTTCTTTATTTCTTTTTTTTTGAAGCAAATGCTACGTAAAGCTTATACAGCCAATTAACTTTCTAGACCAAATGGTTTCATTTTAGGAATTGATTGGAATCAGGACCACGACGAAAGCCTGGATACAGGACACTCACGTTTAAGGAACATGGAAAAAATGTTTAAAAAATTGAATCTATAAAAAATTCGAAGTTATGAGAGTTTAAATTTTGCACTTTGACTCTACTTATTCTTGTTGGAAAAATAATTTTACTAGTTTTTTTGTTACAAGCTATTAGGAGAGGAAAACAAGGAAGCTGTATCCTAAATTGTAACTCTGCTCAATGTTATTTGTGCTTTTATTGGCAAAATTTTTGTACCTTTACTAAGTAATTGTAAAAAAACACATACAAGATCATCAGTATCATTAAATAGATATAAAAAAATGTCAAGTGTTAAAACATAAATGCAAAATTTTTTGACAGACAGAATTTTTTAAACATTTTTTTCATGTTTCTGGTATCTTATATTACTTAAAATTTTTCTCTGGAGCGCGAGTTCTGGCGCACCCTGTATATCGACTCTCTCAACGAAAACTATAGTAACTCAAAATTTACAGTTTTGAGAAAAATTGCATTGAATCTTTGATTGTTAATAAAACATCAAGGAACTGTTTAATATGATTGAACATTTCTGAAGGCCTAAGTATTGTTAATAATATTATTTATTCAGAGAAAAATTTTCTCATTGTTTTTGTATTTTGGGCCCTTCATAAGCCATCGTAACTTGGAACTACGGAGAACTACCTACTAGGAGACGAAACGAGATACAAAATTGCTTGATTTTTTGGACCCAAAAAAAGTTGTACGGCGGAGTAAAAATGAGGGCGCTTAGAGCGTTATACCGTCTCAGTTTCAAATCGTTTTTAATTAATTTAAATTCAACCAGTTTACTAATTGCTTGGAAAAAAATGCAAAAATTTTGAGCTTTATATTCTTAATAAGCTGTAAAAAACAAACCACTAAATTTTTCACGAGAAATATGAGAAAAAAAATATTTAAAATTCAAAATCTGTGCTCCGTTTCATGTTTTTCAAAATGATGCAAATACGGTTAAAGATACAAGAAAAATATAAGAAAAAAAGTTGTAGAAAATAAAATTTTCTAGTAAAATGTTTGCGACAGCATCTTTAATGGTTTAGGCATCAAAGACGTTCAAAGCCGCTCAAGCGACGGATTCGTTTCATTTTTACTGGTGATTGAGTGCCGGGGGACACTTTAAAGCAATTTAAACCTAAACCGTTCTAGATAGAAATATGGTGTCGCGGACTTTTTTGTAGAAAATTTTATTCTCTACAATTTTGTTTCTTACACTTTTTTGTATCTTTAACCATATTCGCAGCGTTCTTAAAAATATTGCGCGGAACGCAAACTGATAATTGATTATAATTTATTTTTAATACTGTTTTCGATATTTTTGAAAACGCTGCGAATACGGTTGAAGATACAAAAAAAATGTAGGAAACAAAGTTGTAGAGAATTAAATTTCCTACAAAAAAGTCGCGTGACCATATCTCTATCTTCAACCGTTTAGGTTTAAAATTTAAACTTTAAATTAATTTTCTGTCTCTTGACCACCGGTAAAAATGAGCCGTATTTGTCGCTTCAGCGTCTTTTAACGTGTTTAGAACCTAAACCATTGAAGATAGAGGTATCATTTTTTAATTTTTAAATGAGTTTCAAATTTTATTTTTCTACATTTTATTTTTTATACCTTCAACTAGTGCCATGGAGATAAGGTAAGAGTGATAAAACTAACCTGAGTCTTTGTCTCTCTTCATATTGCTAAATAAGTAAGAGTATATAACAGTTTTTTACTTACCTATTTGAAAACAAGCACAGAATAAAATTAATGTATAACAAAAAGTGTGCAAGTTACATGTATTTATACCATTTCTATAAAATACATGCTTATATCAAACTTTTTTTTAAATAAATTTTTAGATAAAAAAGTGGTTAATGAAGCGTGTTTATCTTTAGAGTTTATTGTTATTTTCATAATTTTATGCTCTTTTAGATAATGTTTGTTTCGATATTAATATTAATAGTTATTTAAGTAACAAGGAATGTATATGCGAATTGCCCTCTGTAGACAATAGTAGACACTCCTATATGAATATTCACTGTATCGAGCTTCTAAAAATATCGAAAAATGCAGACAGTATCTAAAGTATTGTAAAATTATTGAAAATAACAATAAACTCTAAAGAAAAATTCGCTTCATTAGCCAATCCTTTATTAAACACAAATTGGTGTTTAAAATGGTAAATTGTAGATACGTAAATGTTTTTTTCATTTTATACAGGATGAGCCAGAACTCGCGACCCAGAGAAAATTTTCAAGTAAGGTAAGATATCAGGAACATGAGAAAAATGTTTAAAAAATTCTATCTGTAAAAAAAATTTGATTTATTTTGACATTTCACATTTTTTTTATATCTATTTAAGGATACTGATGATCTTGTATATGTTTTTTTACAATTATTTAGTAAAGGGACAAAAATTTTGCCAATAAAAGCCATAAATAACATTGAACAGAGTTACCATTTAGGATAGAGCTTCCTTGTTTCCACTTTTAATAGCCTATAGCAAAAAACTTGGAAAATTATTTTTTCAACAAAAATAAATAGCGTCCAAGTGCAAACTTTAAACCATCATAACTTCGAAATTTTTATAGATAAAATTTTTTTAACATTTTTTCCATGTTCCTGGTATCTTACCTTATATTTTTCTCTGGGGCGCGAGTTCTGGCGCAAACTTTTTTATTTGTTAAACCAAAATACCTTATCCTAACATAAAATTTTATTACAGACGAATAGATAAAAGTGCTTTTCATTTTTTTTAATAAAATTAAATCAGTAAAATATAATGTCTAGTACAGTCAGAAAATTAGAAAATCTCGTGCCCATAAACCGACCCTCATTATTTGGGTCCTCTTACCTAACCGCTGTTATATCTACGAGGGGCTTTTGCATTTAGCCTCAACATTTCTTTTAAGTAAATCTTGTCATGAAATATTATTTCATAAATAATAATTATTATAATTAAACGTGTGGAAAGTGTGTTAATTTTAATTTGAATTATTAAAATTTCGATTTATATTTTTTTAGCATATTTATTATTATTATTAGGTATTATTTCTGATTTTAGATCTAAATTTTAAGTTTGACAAAAATTGGGTATACATATACAAGGTGGTTTTGGAATAATAGGCAAAATTTTATTGTTTTCTATATCTTTCTTTATATCACACCTACGATCTAGGAGTAATTTCAAATATTCAACGTTTAAGTCATCTGTCGGTTAAAATTACGTAAGCCCCACCACTCTCTACTACTTAACAGGTATCATTTTTAACCTATACATTAGTTGTTTTATTACGATGCACTTTAGCTTCATTAAAATTCCTCAGGGCTATATACTGGTATAAGTACATATGAAGAAAATAAAAGTAGAAGCGTGCAATTGCACACAAGTTGGCCGTTTTTTCCCAAACAAAACTTTTATGGGATTTATTGTAGTCGAGGCGGACATCGAGATAATATTAGAGATTTATTTGTATTTGTTCTGATTCTTGGTCGTTTCCTGACTTCACCTACAGTTACGAAATATGCCTAAACTAATAATAGCGACTGGCGCCGGCAAAAAGCATCGCAGTAGGCCTGTCAATTTTGACATTTGACGTTGTCCATCGTAGACGCGTAGCGGCGTAGACCTCTCAAGTGGGGTTAGAACTCCAATAACTCCGACATTTAACGTCTCCATTCCGCGGACCGTGTCGTAATTTTGTCGCAAATGTCGTAATTATTTGTCAGCGGTTTAGCAAAAGCCCCCATTTGTTATCTTGCACGTCTTGTCCTGTCACCATGCAACATGTTAGACATTGATTTCGGTCCGTGAGAAATGATCAGAATTGATTGGATTGTAAAAAAGGCAAAATGATGGTACACGAGAGTGAATATTGATGTCCTTTAGGAATCTGTGGCAGCACGATAGAACCAGTTTTTGCCAACGAACTGAGTGACAACTCAATATCGGAGCTCTCGTTACATCACTCACTTGCAGGAAAATCGTGTTCGCAATCCCATCTTTTCGTAACGATCGTATAAACAACAGAACGAGGAAAAAATTCACTGTGTTATAGCTTCCTAATCGTATTAATTATTCCTTTCTTTGCTTGTTTCAGCTGTCACCGTTCGCTACCTAACGAAGCGTTATATTGGAGAATACAGTTCGACGAGTGGTGAGTTTTTCTTTCAAGTAATTAAAGAGTAAATGGAGTAAATGGCGATTCTTACATAAGAATAATTAGAAACTGTTTTGGTTTTGAAATTAGCAATTTTTCTAGCACAAAGTGGCGGAAGTAAAAAGCTTTCACGGTTTATTACTTTAGTACAAAGTGTTTTTTGAAATGTTAAGTACCCTGTCTTGGAATAATGGAACCAGTTCGAAAAATAAAATAAAATTGTGAGTGTTTCAATTTTTCATACAGGAACCGGAAATAAGAAACAACAAGACAATCCACAAGGATTTATTTCTCTCATTAACAAATTCTGCTTTCCATTTATTCGTTAATTGGTCAGTTTTAAAAATCTTTGAGTCAAGAAGTTGTCGCGAGCTTGCTGGATGTCGCTAAACGTCCGATAAAGATTGGACCACCTACTGTGTGCCTGAGTAAAAGCTTCTTTCACAAGATAATGGGCAAAATGGCAACGGAATGACACATCACGGATAAAACCGAGCTCTCTTTCACGCTGTGTAAGACGATGAAAAAAATAAAAATACAATACGTCAAAATAATTAGAAATTTGAGAATCTTAAAAATTGTCAAGAATTACGACTACTTTCTTTTTTATTAATAATAATTTATTTCATAATGTAGAATAATTTAGAATTATCGATTTTAGAAGATTATATTAAATTAAATTAAATTAAAAAAGTTTAAAAATCTCTAAAAGGGCTGTACTTAGGTATAGAGAAGATTGATGTTAACTCTTATAAAATAACTCAGGGAATCCAAAAACGCAATAAAAAACATAGCTTTCTATTTAAAATAACAAAGTTGATATTCACTTCCGGTATAAGCGGAAATGTCGCCATCTTGAAAATATTTTCATTGAGTAGGACGTAATCGATTAAGGTTATGTCCAAATTTTTAAATAAATATCATTATCAGGACTCAAAATACTTCTAATTTGATGTTTAGCCGGATCACCCTGTATGATAACTAGTGTGAACATTAGACTTAGATGAAAAAAACTAGACGAGGAAGTTGTAAATTATTTATTTAAAACATATTTTACCTTTTATAATTTTTCTTAAGATATCAAAGAATTATGAACCACCTAATCGCCAAGTATCCTCAAAAAAATGAAACAAAGATCGGTATTTTTATCCTGATTGTGGGGGTTTTTGCCCGACGCTACTGCCGCCACCGCCACTACTGCCACCACCGCTACTGCCGCCACCGCCGTTACTGCCGCCGCCGCTGCTGCCACCACCACCGCCTACGAAACGAAAATTACTAAAAAAAAGTTGCAATAATTCACAAACCTGGACCTCCACCTATCATCTCCCTCAATTTCAATGGATCAAGAATTTTTTTTATAGGATTAAGTTGAAATTTTACTAATTTGGTAATTAGACCTGGTGCACCTGTTTGTAAAAAAAATAAATTGGTAGAAATTTGAGAAAAAAATCGTCTCACCTTCGCTTGTGTTGATGACTGTCATCAACAAAGCAACTAATATGACTGCCTATAAGAATATTTTATTAAACACTAAATATTTTTTGGTTTTAAAAGTACTTACTTTTACAATGCGAGTCATTGTGGATTTATAAGAAGTAAGTCATTGTTTCCAACTTATATAGGAGTTGTTTTGAATAATTTTGTGTTATCTATACCAAAAAAATTACAAAATTTTGCTATAAAACTGTCTTACGTGACTATATTTATAAATATGTAAAAAAAACGAAGGGTAAACATATTCATGTTATGTATTTTTATTTTTTATGTTTATAATAAAGTTTTGAATTCCAAACTTGAAATGTAAATTAATGTCTTTTACAGTAGGCAAACTAAATTCTATTGCTTTTTTTCATCTTTATTTATATGTATATAATTATTTTTATACAGAGTGTTTGCAATTAGCGCTGCTCGGTCAATATACACGAGTACGAGATTTGACAAGAAAAAGTGTTGAATTTGGCGAGTCCTGCATGTAGTTAAAATTAATGTATTTATTTCTGTTTCAACCTGTATAAATATTTTGTCTTCATTTTTCATTCCTGCGATTTTTTATATTTTTTATATTAATTTTTCATAACTGTGAAATAGTAGGTATTGTTTATCCGCAAACGTCACAAAAGTGACCATTTTTATGACTAAATGTCATAGGTAAATGTTTTACTTTTCAACCGTGAAGTAAAAATTATATTTTTGTGCCTTAGCACTTTTACTTTTACCATTACGTTTCTTGTTTTTTTCTATTTTAGCAATTTCTGGAGAGGTTTGCGGATAAAATAGTATATGTTATTCGGAGTAAAAGTGAGTTTATGTGGCTTTTCTTTTATGTGTGACTTTATGTGGCTCAGCTGAATTAAATAAACGTTCAGTTTTGCTACATAAACTATCACTTTTGCTCCTAATAACATAATACATCAAATTTTGCTTTTGCCGTTTTTTTAATGAATTACCTACCAGACTAAAAATTTTGGTTTTGACATATGAGAACGAAATTTGACATTTAAACAGTGATTAAAATAATTTGGTTCCATATTGAATTACTAAAAACTTACGATTTGAAATCCTTTATAAATTAAAATAAATCACTTTGCCAGATATGAGTACGCAAAGAGTGAAAAAAATTCAAAATTGTACAGGGTGATACAGCCAAGATGAGCTAACAACTTGAAACTAGTGCTACATTGTAAACACACTATACATAAAAAAAGAAACTCTTATTGACTCAACAGTTATTTATTTATTATTTATAACTTTATTATATTTTGAAGGTTTTTCAATTCCAGTTTCAATTACGTTGAAAGCAACTGAAACCTAGATAACCCTTAAACCGTTACCAAAACCTGGGCTTTTTAATATTCCATGGTGGAACTTGTGCGATTTTTTTAAGCCTAACTTTTTTAACATTCTCTTAATTATTATTTTTTTAAGAAAATGTGGAAGGCCTATAATTCCTAGAATAAAAAAATTATCTGGTCAAATTAAGAAAAAATCACACTTACCTTCGCTATTGTCGATGACTGTCATCAATACCACGACAAGGATTATGACCTATACAAATATTTTTGCTATTACCAGGAATTCTTAAAATGTTAGGAATACTTACTTTAGTGAAGTGAGCCATTGTGTAAAATAAATAAACGTAAAAAAGTTTATATACTAGGGCCATGTTGAATAATTTTGTGTTATCTACAGTTTAATAAATTAAAATTTACTATTATGAAAATATACAGTGTAACTTTTTTAAACCATAGAGTGGTGTAATTGCAATGACTGATTCGTTCATACAAATGACTTTTGCTCAACCAATTCAAATTAATGACTTGAGTTGACTTAGCTGAGTCACCCTCTATACAGGGTGCGCCAGAACTCGCGCCCCAGAGAAAATTTTCAAGTAAGGTAAGATACCAGGAACATGAAAAAAAATGTTTAAAAAATTCTATCTGTCAAAAAATTTTGACACATATTTTTTGACATTTCACATTTTTTTATATCTATTTAATGATACTGATGATCTTGTATATGTTTTTTTCCAAGTATTTAGTAAAGGGACAAAAATTTTGCCAACAAAAGCCACAAATAACATTGAACAGAGTTACAATTTAGGATACAGCTTCCTTGTTTCTTCTTTTAATAGCCTATAGCAAAAAAAACTTGGAAAATTATTTTTCCAACAGAAATAAATAGAGTTAAAATGCAAACTTTAAACCCTCACAACTTCGAAATTTTTATAGATATTTTTTTTTACATTTTTTCCATGTTCCTGGTATCTTACCTTATATGGCATTTTTCTCTGGGGCGCGAGTTCTGGCGCACCCTCTATTTCTTAACTGCCTTGTTATTCAGTTATGCGGTTATGTTTAGCTACTTACAATTTCAAATTGAAAAATTATCAAAGTTGTGACTAATTCTTTAACAAGTCGATAGCGAATTCTTCAGTCTTGTATACCCAATTTTACATGAGAAAAATTCCTCCAAAATGTTAATTTGACTTTCGTTATCTTTACGATCCAATTAATCTTCCCGCATCAATTAGCTTTAAAGCGACTGTTAATATCTCTGGAAAAATTCACATAAATCTGACCCCATTTCGAGTCATCATTTCAAAATCGAAAAAAACGACTTTCCTATTTGCCTCCAGGAATTTGACAATTAAGATAGCTTTTTATCATTTTAGGGTTTGAAACCTTTTATTTTAATAGCAAGACAGGGTCAATAAAACCCCGTTTATCAAATATGTTAATTTTGATTTTTTCTCTTGTGTTCTTAGTCAGAAGTTGGGTAACTGTTGAGTACCTCACCATTTATTATCTGTGAGACACTATGCATTAATAACTAGGTCAAAAATTTATTTATATTCACAATCGGCTGACAAAGTGACAATATTGTCATTCTTACACGTCGGGTTGTAAATAATAGCGACCATTTAATAATATTTTGTAATATAAATTGTTGTTCTAGAAATGATTTATTCTTTCCTTCTTAGGTGTATCGGTAATAGACGCCACTTTATTAATTTATATCTAAATGGTGCGTTAATAAATAATGGTGCATTTATTAGAAATTGCTTACTAATATATGATTGCATAGTCTGACCATTATAAAGGATATTTTATGTGTAGGTCATGGTACTGCCAGACAAGTTTAAATATAGTAACAAAAAAAGTACCACAGATGGTATTTTGACCTCTGGTTCTTATTAGGAAGAATTAATTAATTTACAACCACTGCTTTCTGGAGCTATTTTTGGATTAACTCGCCACATGTGTAATACTGAGCTTAAAAAAGGAAATAGTAGATTACAAACCGAGGTGGGAGGTGCTTCAAGGCGAAATTTGCAATAAGCCGAGGTACAATGAAGCAACGATCATTAAGGTTTGTATACTATTTTGTTCACAATCATCCTCTTTAAAAGCTAAGAAGAAAAATTCAATTTGGAAAACATCACATTGACAGTTCAGATTGGGAAGTGGTCAGTTCCTTATCAGTTTTCGGGTTGGAACTTTACAATTTTTCACATGCAATTTAATTATTATTTTATGATTGTGAATAAAATCAATTGTGCTGTTGTAATTTTGGATCAGGAATTTTCTTTAAGTGGGAAAATCACTCATGGGTATCCAAGCATAGTTAGGCACGCTTTTAACTAAATTCTCATTTATTTTAATTTAAACTGCCTAATTAGTTAAGTAAACAAACCGGAGAATTTGGTCAAGGATGAGTGAGTACGGAATGCGCAAAAGTATCACTGTTGACAGATTTATAAACAATTTATTTTTAATAGTGCGGAAAAACTGAGTTTTTATGATGCAATGGTGGGTCATAATTTTTACATTTTCACTTTTCCTTTCTAGTTTTATCTCTTGTAGAATAAAAAAATACAAATTGTAGTTTTTTTTTACCTTTTAACTCAAATGTATAACATCACTGAATTTAGAAAAAGAGCTCTATTTCAAATTGTTAAATTTAGCTTTTCGTACTCAAAAAWAAATCAAGTTAGTTTTGTATCTTTATAACCAATGAGGGTAGAAATATTTCAAAATTTAAATACCTTCCATGTACCAAATTTCAATACAATTTGGTAATTTGTTTTTCAAATTTTTATTTAGCTGTATCCACTTTTTTAGCCACTTGTGTATAGATATACAGCGTGTTTTATTAATATTGCGAAAAGTTACAACCACATATTCTACATCGATAATTAATATTAATTTATCAAATAGACGATAGTTTTTTAAAGCTTCATTTTTGATATACAGAATGATAAAGTTTTATGATAAAAATTAAAATACATCAAAATAAGTTATTTTCACAAAAGCCCTTGAAAACGCTTATTCTCCGGCAGTATTTTATTTTTACTCTTAATTTTTTAGTGTTTTTTTTGAGGTAAACTATGAGTTGCAATTTTATACACTGTTAGAATAAACACAGGGGCGTCATTACGGGGGGCAATGGCGCCCCCCTGACTAGAATTACCCTATCTAGATAATAAATTCACCTTTTAACTGATCCTGTAACTGAGTGTGTTATTTAAATTACTGTTTGTTTTTATTTTTATTGTTTAAATGAATAAATTATATGCAGTTAGTTACATTCCTAGGTGTTAAAATTATTATCTAGCGTGACAATTAATTTTTAAAGCTTACTCGTGTGCCAATAAATTAACTTATTGCCCCCTCCCCCTCAAGAAAATTTTAAATGGCGCCCCTGGAAAAACACCTTGTATATATATTAAGGAAGTAGGTAACTTTTAAGCGTTTGAGATGCTGTACCCACAATCACTGATTTTAAATTAAAAGTTAAGAAAAAATGAAATGTTTTTGCTTCCGATCAAACCGAAAAAAATAGTATTTTTGAAATGTGGATTTGGAATAATGACAAAATGTAATAACAAAAATATAATAATGACTTTGAATACTTTGAAATCAATGCACAGTCGAAGAGAAAATAATTTACCAAGAGTAACTTTTGTGTATATATTAGAAAAAAAATGGAGTTGTAGATATACAGGGTGTTTCACACAACTTTACGAGGCTTGCGCCTAATGTACGCACCCAAATATACAAAAGTCACAAAACACTGGATACAAAAAATACACTTCTAACTATTTAATTTTTGGAAACTAATCACTGTTTGATTAATAGTTATAAACAGTTTTTCAGAAACAATTATCATTTGTTCTATCAAGAAACGGCATGATTATGACTCTAGTTCTTAATCACTAACTAACTAAAAACGTTGTAAGTTTTTTAAGGGTGAACAAACTAGAGAAGATTATTCAATTTTTCAAAATTTGTAATCGAGTTCGTATCGGAATATGTATTATTGATTGCATCTTACAGGCGCAGGCCTCGTAAAATTACGCGAAACACCCTGTACAGGTTAGGGTGCCTTATTAACCAAAAATGAAAAAAAAATAAACGTTATTTCTACGTTATATTTTAAGATAATAAACAATAAATTTAATAATACTCGTAATTCATTAAGAATATTTTTAAATTACTAAAAAAATAATAATTTATCAGATTTGTAGAACACTCTTCATTCTACACTTTTTTGTGACTTAATCAGTTTTGAGTTTTTTTATATAGTTTTTAAAAATTATAATTATAATACAGTAAGCGACAAAATTATGGAATTATCGTATCTATTAAGACTGAAAATATTTGATTTTAACAAAAATGCTCGAACAGATCAATTTTCTTTTTAAAAAATACAAAATTCTCAACTTGATTTAAATTTTATGTTTGTTTTTTGTTGATATTATTTCGCTTTTTGGATGATATTTTTTTCGAAAACTTTTTGTAATATTCAATTTTTTGTGTTGTCATTTCGACAATTAAAAGATCTATCGAGTTGGCTAAAACAATAATTAAAAAAAAATGTCGAAGACGTCATTACTCAAAAACCAATTATTTTAATTAAGTTGAAAATTGTATACATATTAAAAAAAATCACATATTTCTATCGTAAAATGGAACACTTTGCATATTATGTTTTACCCCATTCATTAGTTTTGTGAATTTTTTGTTTATTTAAAGCAGTGGATATTTTGTTAATATTTTGATTTTAAGTAACCACAAGTTAAGGAAAAATAAATATTGTACCGGAAGTAAAGTTGCCATGAAATAATGAAATGCAATAATACTTTCAGGGGTTGGTATTGGCGTTTTTTGCACCTATTTAGCCTTATTTTTGAGTTATTGACAGCTGAAAAGTATATTTTTTGTATACACTCACAGGAACTCACTTAAATCTCTAAAATTTGTTTTTTCAGACTTAAAATAACTATTTTTGGCACATTTTTTTTTGTGAGAAGTTAATCATCCATAATTAATTATAATTTAAAATTTTCAGATTTTCTATACCGACACAACGTGACGTTCGACAACGTGACAACGGAAGTCGAAATCCTCGACACGTCAAAGTGTGCGGTAAGTTACAAACAAGTCCTCTATAATTTATTTGCCAATAACATTATTACGAAAAAAAGCAGCGGCAAATCACAATTTATCAAGAAAATAATGACTAGTTACCGTAATTTATTATACAATAACTAGTTTTAGATAATGAATTCCCTCTGCGGTCCATTAATATCAAGAAAAAGCAATCCCAACAATTTGTAGCCAACTCTTCACTTATATCATCCGTTTTCCTTCTTTTGACAATTTGATAACCTACTTTATCGCATTTTTCCACCCATTGCGGCGAGGTTGAAAAATCTTTATTGCCCCAATTAGGCGACAATTAAAAACCAAAGTCGTAAATTTAACGACGACTTTTCTAAATTCGCTATTTCTTCGAAAAATCGCAATGCTGTCTTACATACATATATTTTGCGTTGACCTGCTCCAATATTCTCAAAGGTGACATTTATGTAGCAAAAACTATATCTTTGTAGGGATGTGCCGTTACGAGAAAGGTTTTTCATTCAATGTAAATATTGCATTCTGCCCTAATTTGATAAAGTTAGGATTTAATTAACGATGCTGTGTGAACAGTTACGACTACCATACACGTGCAGTAAGACAATAGGGAGGACGAAATCTGAGTATTTAGATCAGCGACGTAAGGAAATAAAGTTAACTTACCTCCTTTATATTCGTGTTAGGATAATTTAGGAGAAATTTTAAATTTCTACCTGTCACACGTGTTTGCTATCGAAGTAGCACAGTTTTAACACATTGGAAAGAAAAAACCTATAATTTGCCAACATTTAGTAGGCGTCAAAGTCAATAGAATTTTGTTTTTTCAAATCTAATGAAACCGAAGGCGGAAATGTGTTACTTACGTCCAAATTTAGGGTTCATGCTGTTTAAATCCTGATTTATTTTATTTGTTTTGTGTCCCGTTATTTAACAAGTGAAGAAAAATATTTCATCTTTTGATGTGTGTACCTACATAAAGCAGTGTACCCACATGAGAAATGTTTTTTTGATGTGCATAAATAAGCCGACGACAATGAAATAATGAAACGACTTACAAAACAGATGTGTTCATTACTGAAAGCGTGAAAGTTTCATCAAGTCTGTAACCGTTGCTAATTTTGATATTGCACTTTTGGCAGTTGGGTAATTAAGTTATCATGAACGTGAATGACTTCCTTGTTTATTGAAAATGTCTTAAACAAGTTTTGGTTGATTTTTAAAACTGATTTATTTGTGTTGGTATCAATGATCTTACTAGATGCGCCTTAGAATGAGAGCTTTTAAGCTCTAGATAGAAAAGAGACGGACATAGCGAATCAGCTGTTGAATGGTCTTCTTTTGTGAATTTTAACTTTATTTTTGTATTATTATGTAGTTCTTTGATTATTTTACTAATTCTATACATTATGAACCAATTTCTTTAATTTTAATTGACAATTTCTGGAACATAGCTCAAAAATGCTAAAGGGGTCTTTAAAAACTTAAAAGTTAAATAATTTAGATGCGATTTTGTGGTACAATTTTTGTGAAATACGAAATTAATGATCTGCGATTCTATAATCGAAAAGAAAAAAATATCTGCAAATTGAAACATACCATACCATAAAAAGTTTATTATACCACTAATAAAAGTCTAGTTTTCGATATTTAATTCAAAAATAATAAATGTTTGTAATTTAATTACTTTTTTTTACTTCTTATTATTCTGTTTCTTCTTAAATGTAAGTTATTAAAATTAAGCAAAACTTGTCCAAAAATAAGAGAGAAATTTAAAATAATTGTTTTAAACACTTTAGTGCTTTTCTGCCCTACATCAAAAACTATCTCTATCTTTGTTAATAACTGTAATTCTTTTGTTTACTGTCTTTCTTTAATGGCTGGGATCAATCGCCGCCTTACAAAATATTACAAATGGCGCATCTAGTATTAATTAATAATTTATTGTTTATTAATATTGGTATGTATTGTACAGGGTGTTTCGTTTTTATAGTTACAAATTGAAACAGGTGATTGAATATTTAATTTTAAGCCAAAAGTTTCCTATAAATATGTATCAAAAAATATTATTGGGAAAGTACACCCCCTGAAAGAGGTGCGTCTTTTAATATGTTTTTCCAATAATTCACAAAACCATTATACAGGGTGCGCCAGAACTCGCCCCCAGAAAAAAAATGAGAAAAATTCGTGTTTTCAATTTTTATTTATACTTATTTGTCTTTATTTATTTTGTACCTGTTGTTTTTTCAATTCTTCGTGTTCTTGTTTTCTAATAAATTTCTGATCAATGTTAAATAATACAGTCAATAAATTCTTCTGTAGCTAGACAGCTAAAAAATTTAAAACAAAAACGGTTAAAAGAAGCTTCGCAGAACATTTTTTTGTTCTAAAATTAACTTCTGGTTTTTTTTCGAAAATTGTTTAAATTAGTTTGTTGTTTTTTTCTTCATTATTCGCGTCTGTTTTTGGTCTTGATTTGTATTGGGTTGTTATTTTTTATTTTTGGTTTTTACTTTCCCGTTTTAGGAATGCTCTTGTTTGTCTGTTTTTGATCTTTTTTTGTTGTTTGTGTTTGTTTCACCTTTCTATTTTTTGTATTCTTATTTTTCTTGTAGAATGTTTTCTAATAAAATTTGGATCAGTATTGTCTGTGACTGAATAATTTAGAGACAGAAGATATAAGCTCATCTTGACTGCAGTTTTTTAAATTTTGATACCGAACATTTTTAAAAGTGCTGAAAATTTTTGTTGGTTTATTTACTAAAGTTGTTTCAATTTATATTTTTTTGCATTGTTTTTATTTTTATTCACACAAAGCTGTTCGGTTTCTTTTTACGTTTTTACAAAAAATAAATTTTCTTAAAATACAAAATCTGACTTAAAAAATAAGCTAAATTCTAAAATTTTTCATAGATAAAAGCTACCAAGGATTAAGATTTTTGTATATTTGAAAAAATTTTGTAATTCTTGTACAATCTGTCCGAAAAAACGAATGATCTTGGGAGGTGATTTCCTAGATCAAAATAATAAAAAAAGTTTCTATAAACCTATATTTATGCAGGCTACGCCAGAACTCGTGCTTCAGAGAAAAAGGTAAGATACCAGGAACATGGGAAAAAAAATTAAAAATTCTATTTATAAATATTTTGAAATTATGAGAGTTTAAATTTTGCACTTTGACTCTATTTATTTCTGTTGGAAAAATAATTTTCCAAGTTTTTTTTGCTACAGGCTATTATAAGAGAAAACAAGGAAGTAACTCTGTTTAGTGTTATTTGTGGCTTTTATTGACAACATTTTTGTACCTTTACTATATAATTATAAAAAAACATATACAAGATCAACAATATCATTAATAAATAGATATAAAAAAATCTTAAATGTGAAAAAAATAAATGCCAAAATTTTTGTCAGATAAAATTTTTTCTATTTTTCTGGTATCTTATTATTGAATTTTTTCTCTGGGAGGCAAGTTTTAACACACTCAGATAAAATAACAAAAGTACCCTAACTAAAATTAAATATGTAAGAATAAAAAAATGAAACACTATATTTAACTAAATTCAAATTACTGTTGTTGTGCTCTTGTTAGTAAATATGAATAATTCCGACGTCTCCAATTAACTAAAGAGGTTTATCGGTAATTTACAACATAAACCTCTTTAATTTCCAACGGCTTAAGTCTCAGCCCAACACAAATCGAATTTTATTCTCTCAATTAATAATATTTATCCCGTTTTAGCTTAGAAATGTTGGAAAACACCTCGCAATCTCAACGAATTCGTAATTATAATTAACTTATCAGTACACCGTATTAAAACGTCAAGCCGTCAGTAATTACTAACGATATCACCGGAGTTTATCACTTACCCGCAGCTATTAAATTGTCCAACTCCGGGATTATTAATAAACGTATTTGCGTCCCTTGTAGAGAATTTGTTCTTTCATAGTTTTCTCGTCGTTGACGACGACTCGAATTAATAAATAATCCTCCGGTCTGTGCTGCTTGTCACAGATGAAGTTCCGAGTGCAAGGGTTAATGATCAGGTAACTAAGACAGTGGCAGAATTTAAGATTTGTTGCTGTGAATCACCGGAGGAAATTAATGAGGCACTTCGATAGGGACGACCGTTGCCATTAAGAATTCTCACTGTCACGATAAAGATTGGTCTGGATTTATATTGCTTTCAAACGAAACGGATTTATTTCCGTAATTTTATACCAAAGGGACTTACTTATTGCGCCAGTTTGTACATACCTCCAAGGCACGAGCTTCCATTTGTGGCGAAATACGGATGGCCAAGTCGACAACTCGAGAGAATTGTAATTAATTCGAGGTAATTAATTACCAGCACGAGCCGCGCAACTAATTATTTCCATAATCCCGAGAATAATTATTTAGGGCGGTTTTTAGAAAAATTCATCCGATGATTAATGTCAATTGGCGCTCTGTTGTAATTGTGATTTGAATTTGAACAGTAATTTTAATCACTATTTCAATATTTTTCCTCTAAGTATACATATTTAATGGGTAAAACTGAAGAATTTGCACACAGTGGTGTCAAAGGTAAAAGCAGTCAGTAATCATCTTAACTTACTTCAACGGTGAACGTAACCTCAAATTTTTTCCAAAATTAATTAACTATTTCTTAGCAACAACCGTTTACTGCAATTTGAAACGGTTTTTACTCAGTTATGATGGTTAATTAGTAAATTTTTAAAATTATTTTGATTACATGGCTACATTGAAATTACGAAATGTTACATTTAAGGCAACATGCTCATCAAGTAAGGTTATAGCATCTCGGGTAATAACTCAACTACAAAAAATCTCTTCTCTACGTTGTGATATAATATACTATTTTTCACTACCTACTTCATCATTATGGACCAAGAGCAATAATGTATCCATTAAAGGTGGGTAAATGACGATATTGGGGGGTTACATTGATGCAAATTCTTTTAGAATATTATTATTGAAAACTATTCTTATCACAAATACTAGCGAG